TTCCGGAAAACTCACGAACATGACAAACTCAATACGAAACATAATCTGTGTAAATGGGTTGTTAAAAGATTTACCGTGTTCCATTGTGCCGTCCACAATTACGACAATAAGGATTGTACATTGGGAAGAAATTGCTGATCCATCTAAGGGACTTGTCATCTATTGGCTTCAAGATCCAAAGAGACGGGGCGTGTCATCTCATATCATAAAAAGGGTAAGTGATTGCTGCGATAAGAACAATTGCACAGTAATGGACACAAATAATCATTATGTAGCCTCATTTAAACCACTCTGTAGGGATAAGCGAGAACAAGTTGAAAGGTTCAGTTCTGTCGACATTACTTTGAATAAGACACTGATGCCACTACCTGCTTCCAATATATAAGCTGCGCTAGTAAAGGCTTAAAATATAGTTGAGGAAGTAAAGTATGTAATGTTAAACCTTAGTTTCCTCGGTTTCTGGGACATGCTGGAATACATTACATCTTCCTGTTCAGTATGTCTACTTTTTGGGGGCGATTGCTAAGAACCATTCAGAAAAGTGGATTACTCATGCAAGTCTCTCCAGCTCGACCCTCTCATTCCTTCTCATTTTCTCTTCCCCCTGTCTCTTTCCCTCTCTCTTTCTCCCTCTCACACATACATTTCCATTTTATTTCTTCAGCATAGACGCTCGTCCCATCCCCCTCCTCTCCCCTCCTCCCTTCACTCCCCATCCACAACTCTGTAGCCTGAATGTTTCACATCTTGTACCTCCCATTTTTCCCTTCACCCTCTTTTCTGTCTCCCTCCCTCTGTTCTCTTTCCTTCCCCCCCCACTTTCTCCCTCTTTCCCTTCTCTCTCTCTTCTCATTCATTTTGTCTCTCTCCTCTTGTTGTATTGCCTTCTTTTCTCTCGGGTCCCCATCTCTTTCTCTTATCCTATGTTCTTCTTCTTCCTTCCGCTGCTATCCTCTTCACACCCTTCTATATCTCCTACCTCACACCCCTCTCTCTATCCTCTCCTCTTAAGCTCCCCCCTCTTCCTTCCACTCAACCTGCTTGTTCTTTCTCTCCCTGTCTCTCTCTCAGGACACCAACCTCACACATGGCTTATTGATTTCTGAAAGCAACACGCGGATGTACAGCCGATGTAGTGCCCACGGATCTGCACACAGAGGATTTGAGGCACACAGGGGTTTAGGTACATGCATAAAGACAGTATGTACAGCAGTCACACTCCCAAGCCGTGCAATGAATATTTAGGTGATGCCAGATAGATTAACACTAGGGTTTGTGATGGGGAGAAAGAGAGGGAGGGAGAAGAAGAGAGAGAGAATGTGCCTGTAGATGGCAGAAGAGTGCTTTAAGGAAATGTGTGGAAGCAGATTTCACACTCACACACACACACACACATCCAGGCACAGATATACTCATTAACCCTCACACCGGCACGTTTATATAGCTACACCTGTGAGAATTTTCCACCGCCTTACAGAAATTCCCCAAATTGATTTCAAACACACACACATACATTGCCCCCATAACACCTTCAGCACACACACAAACGCTGTAGATTACACTGAAGCTGCACTCAGCCTGAGAATTAATGATCAGGAAATCAAAAGCACTGTCGTTAATTTAATACTTTGATTATGAAATAGACCAGTGACATGACTGGATTCCCAAATGAGGTCCGCATACTTCCCTTGGGGCTTTGTGTTGACGAGACTCCTTATGAAAGCCTCCTGACGTTTAAATTAATTTATATTTCTATCAAAAGGGATATTGAATACGGTGATTTTTTTTCTCCTTTCGGAAATGTAAGTGTTTGGATTTGTCTGGTAACGTGTATTTGTTTTTGTGCCTTATTAAATGAATTCATGAAACAGTCCTTTGTGCAGTTTGGTTTGTTGTGTCTTTGGATATAAAATCATTTGATTATCAGATAGATAATCAGAAGATAAACAACATAACAAGATACTATAAAAATGTAAAATAATGAAGAAATGAATCGATTCAGTAACAAAAAAGTAAACAAATATATATTGAATAAGTTAAATTTAACTCCAGTGTTACCCTAAAAATGTCCCTACCTTCTAAAGAGTAGTGTGACCACCATTTCGTTTTCAGGAATAACGTTGCAGTTATAAGCAAAAAAAATAAAATAATTAAAACTCAGCTTGGCTGAATTATCCAGAAACTACGCCCACTAGCTCCCGTCTCTCTCTCAACTCCAATGGCCTTAAGATCAAGGACTCGACATCATCTTGAGTCTGAACACGGCCCATTCATAACCTTGAAGGAAAACCACATGCCATGCAGCAAGAAATGGATGGCCGGAGATGGGTTCTGATGCGCTGGCTTCCTCTGAGGTAAGTAAAAAATGAATGTGTGAAAAATAGATAGCCAGACACTTCATTCAGTAGTTAAAGTCTGTTTAAAGCATCTCATAATCAGATCTACACCTCAAATTCCTCCTTACTGGGCAGGCATTGACATTAGAATGCCAACTTTATGTCTGTACTTACTCAAGCTGTGATACGTTCGGTTATATAATGACAATAAATACAACTTTGTCGTTTTGAGAAAGAAATCCGGAAGTATTAAACTCCATAAGCCATAAACCATCAAAATATGAGCGGCCAAACTCAAGCTATTGAAACACACTTGAGTGAATGATGTGAGTATGTATTTCTCATGCTGTTTTTGTATGAGTCTTTTATATTTGTACAGCATATAAACTTCACTGCAGCACTTTGGCTTTTTGTTGTAACTGCCTTCATAGCTACTTCATAATTTTCTCTTCTCAAAGTGAAAATCTATATGCAATGTAATTCTTCAGTTCTTCTTCAGTTTTGAGAGCGGGAAAGGAGTGAGCGTTTGACTGACAAAAGGAAAAGGAAACATGGCAATTACAACACGTTTGATATGATATTACTTTCCATAAAACTGAAATATGTGATGATATTTTGAGTTGGGGTGACGGAAGGCAAGCTTCTTGATGGCTCCTCTCATCGCTGCCTGCTGTTTTTAGATTAGATTTTATTTGGACTGGATGAGATTGCAACAACCCACCAGTGCTTTAAACTCAACTAGGAAAATGGTAGAATCCAAGACATTTCTAGGATAACTGAGATGCCAAGTGACATTAAAGGGACAACGAGCACAGGAGGAGCTCTTTTAACAATTTATAGTATAATTACTGCTATGAATAATAGATTTAGGTGTATATTATTATTTGGAATCTCACATAAATTGTTACAACGGTAATAATTCTTTGTTGATGTTTTCGTGCATTTACACGTTTTCTCTTGCGGACCGTGTTAATATCACAGCAAAAGCAGTGGCAAGTAACATTCAGCATGAAGTCGAATCGCATTGCTGCTACAAGTATTGGCTAGTCAATCAATTACACCATCAAGAACTCAACAGTGTCACTTCACCGGACTAATAGATAACGCTGAAGTGTCTGCGTCTATCACAAGCCACCAAATCCCAAACTCTTCCTTGTATTGATTTTGTTTCAGGGGACAAGTGGGGCAATGAGTGATGAGGCCAGCCATTATTGGTTAGTACATGTGTCCACTGGGCTTAGCTCACCACATCATGTTACTCTGTTAAATGGCAGCATTCTCCTAACATGACTTCTCTTTTGTTTTGAATTTGGTTTTTCAAAATAGACTGGCAGGTTTTCGCTTCCTCTTTGTTTTGATCGAATTTGGACATCCTTAGGTAAACTTTTGGCAAGCGCCCATTCCTCAGTGCCAGTGGGCGCCCCCCTTGTATTTTGTTCTTTTTCGCTCAAAGAGTACACAGAGTATCCTCTGCTTGTAGTCTGATGTTCAAAACAAACCAACATCCTCTCAGAGAACAGTCTAGTTTTCAACTGAGAAGTCCAGTCCATTTTAGGCTCTTATTTCCGACTAAAAGCAAGTGAATGGAAGCGGGAGCTTACGAGGAGCACTTGAAGGCAGCATCTCTGTACCGGCGGGGAGAAGGAAGAGACGCACCAGCCCTACACCGGGAGGACAGACCGAAGTACACCAAGCAGAGGGAATGATACGCGTTTCCTCTGCTTTCTGACGACCGAGAAGGATTGTCATATTATCTTTTTTTTTCCACGTTGGACTTCAGAGAGAACTAAAGGAGGACTGTCTCAACATAACGAGCAAGCTGGTTTTCGGCTTGTTTGGTAAGGAAATGGAAAAAAGAAAAGAAAAGAAGGAATGACTGATGGTGATGCTTATGTGAGAAAAGAAGTCAAATGAATGAGAGAATGATGAGAGAGTGATTTAATTTCTCTTCTTTCAGGAAAGGGGTGAAGATGCTCCGTTTTCTTCGCCGTTGTTTGTGAGAGGGGAAGGAGAAGAGGAGGAAAAAAGAAAGAGGAAGGTTTGACAGACGCACGAGTCGAGAGACGGGAGGAAAGGAAGGAGGTTATCCGGACAGAAGAGAAGCACAGAACAGATCTTCCTGTCCGGTGTTTGAGACACCAAAGGGGACTGAAACAGAGCAGAGGGGATTTTTCTCTTTTTCTTTTTGAAGAGACACGGAGGAGAAGGAGACACATACTGTACAGAACGGCACAGGAGGAGAGGCTGTATAGGAAAGGGGGGATATTTCAGATTGAAGAGGGGATGCAGCCCGGAGGAAGTGTGGATTTGAAGCTCTCCCTCCCTCTCTGTGACTCTTTTGCAAGGGAGCGGGACGGAATAGAGAGATATTGACGACAAGCATCGCTAAAAACCCAGCGGAGAGTGGATTTAAAGACAGAGAGACAACCTGTGCGCCCGTCCCTCCTCTCTCTCTCCCCCCTTCTGCTTCTCTCTCTGTGGATGTTGACTAAAGTCATTTTTCGGATATGAAGGATTTATCTAGTCTATGTTAGAAGGAGGAGGCAAAGAAAACGCACGCGTCTCCCCCTCTCTCTCTCTTTCTCTCTCTCTCTCCCCCCCACACTCTCTCTCTCTCTCTCTCCCCTCGCTCTCTCTCCCTCCGTTTTCTGGATGTGAAGCAGCATGCGGCCCGGTGAGAGCTTAGAGGGCTCGCGCTCGGCTCGCGGAAGATGTATTGATGCTAATAACATTACTAATAGCGGCACGGAACGCTGTCTCGCGCACCCCTCGTCGGCAAAGAGGAGGATGAAGAGGGGTACGACGAAGAGGAGGATGAGAGGGATGAACGAGAGGATGACGGACGGAGGAATGACGGTGATGCGCTGTTTTCTGTGGAGTCTCGTTCTCTGCTCGCTCTCCTCGCGCGCGCAAGGTAAGGGGATGCGACACGCGCACACACACACACAAGCCCCGAAAGAGCGCACTCACGCGCACTGACATGAACGCCCTCGCTCACGCGCGCACAACCAGGGTTTGGGTGAGACTGGGTGCTGACTCCCCCCCCACTGCAGTCATAAGAAAGATGCTGCTTCTTCTGTGTGTGTTCGTGTGTGTGTGTGTGTGTGTTCGGGGGGTTAGGGGGGTGGCAGGGGGGGAGTGGGTGTGTGTAAGGGTGTCTGCGTGCGCGTGATGATGTCTGAGAGGTGTCTGTGCATGTGTGTGAGTGAGAGGGGTGATGTGCGCGTGGGCGCGCGAGGTGCTTGCGTGCGTGGATGTGTGGTGTGTTGCGGAGGAGAGCGGAGAAATAGAAATTGGCTTACAGGGAGGATGAAGGGAAAAGAAGGAGAGAGGGATGGAACCGGCAACAGCCTCTTTCCCTCTTTCCTCATTTTCTGCTTGCTTCAGTTTGCTCTCTCCCTCTCCCCCACTCTCTCCCTCTCTCTCCCTCTCTCTCCCTCTTTCTCTCTCTCCATCCTTCTCTTCAATACAGCCATTGAGCTGGTAGCCAATAAATATTCTTGCGGTAGCTCTTGGGCTGTGGCAGCGAACGTGAGCTGCTTATACCAAAGTGTGTGTGTGTGTG